TGTACGCATCTTTTATCACATTGTTTTAAACAACGGATTAATTAAGCAATGCCAATAATAATTTAATATTATTAATAATAATTATTTAATTTAAATAAACTTTAAATTCTTTACATCTACATAACAAAACAATTTGTACATACTGCCGTGTTCTGCCACTTTCCTCAACATCTCCGGTGGTACGTATTCATGCGGTAGTTCTTGGAAAATTTCTTGACTTCCCTACAGTTAAAAAGTAAAGATTAAAAATTAAATCATAAAATAATTCCATCCAAATAATTGCGTTAGGGCTGCCATCTTCTCAAAGTTCAACATCGATATCTTCGTTTTTAAATAAAGGGCGCAAAGCATCTCTCATTCTTATAATTTTTTCTCCATGTGCAAGACTACATTTTTTTTTAAAGTTTGGCAGCCCTATATTCTGGAATACTTACCTGAGACACATTTCCTGAACCGGTGAAGACAAATGTGAGTGGTCCGAGGGATTTGGGCATCATCCCGAGGGCCACTTCATATCCTGCGTCTCGTATCGCTTGTCGCGCCATACTTGAGTTCCTGTAGTTGTGCGCTGGACCCACATGCTGATTGAAAATTACACTTTTATAAAAAAGGCATTATCAAATTAGTAATAAAAGGTAAACATTTTTTGAAGTACCTAACAATTTGAGGAGAATTATCTTACACGGACAGGATCTTAAGCCTAAGGACCAACCCCAATTATAAGCTTTTAATCATTACTCTTAATTAGTGATATTTTTGATCAATCTCTGTATCATCGCAACAATAAATCAATGATTTATTGATGTCTGTTTGTCTGTATGTTTGTTTAACTCAGAAAGGGTCAATTATAAGTACAATTTTCATATGTGTTTTACCATGAACGGCGTGTGATGTCCCAACGCTAACAGTCGCAAGCCGAGGCCATGCAGGATGTTGATCATTCCAGCCACTCCCGCATACTTCCCGAACGCCACAACCCTGTTACCCGCGTCATCCATCAGCTTCTCGTAATCTATTAGACGGATATTCTAAAAAAAAAACATTTAACGATAATGCACAATGTCAATAGACCTTTATTATCATCTAGCTCTCTGGAGCGCATAACCATACCTATCTTATATTTAATCCTTCACTCATTATAATTTTCCTGTTTTCACTTACCTTTGCTAAAATAGCATCTAACATTGGCATGTTGGCTTCCTGCGCTTTTATTGTGTGCGAAAAGAAACAATAAGTTTTGTTTGGTATAAGAAGATCGATCGGAGTTTGTTTCACCCCAAATATAACGCTAGCTTCACTGATGTCCTCTTGAATTATCGCACCAGCGTTTAAATATGACTAAAAGAAAACAATCAAAAAATTGTATTAAAATAATGTCTTGTAATTGAATTAATTTTGAATTCTACACTAAGCGAATATTTAAGAAAGCATTAAACGGCCGTTTTTGCGACATCAAATTTTTTCGTAAATATCTGTTATTTCACATTTCAAATTATCTGCAAGAAAGACTAGACTAGGGCCTGCCATCTTAGACAAAGTTGACTAGGCACTTGACACCGTGTTGTTCATTACCTAATTCATATTTACCTGCATTGGGTATGCACGTCTGTTTGAAGGCTGCACTATAACTTTGACCCCTTGCCGCACTAGTCGACTGACGTTTGCTGGCGAAAAAGGCGCGCGTCTCTCCCATACTGACTGATCTTCTCTTCTTATTGCGATCACTCGACGAGGCTAGAATATTGACCATTAGTTTATTATAAAATTAAAAATACCTGCCAGTCATAAAACAAACTGGCTATAAAACTAAAAGAAGGTTCTCTACCAAGTTACTTTTATGATTCTATGACAAGGACCCTAAGCAAGAGTTTAGTTTATAGATTTTACCTTGTATATATTGCTATTCATGGCGTCTTTAGCCGATAACTTTGTTAATTGGAAAGTATCTGGTTTGCGGTTCAATTTAAAAATGTCTAAAATCCGGCGAAGAACTTCGGAGATGGACCCCAAAGATATCTAGCAATGCAAAAATATTTTTAAATTGGAAGTTTACTATTAAAATTACGTAAATTGACATTGCGTATTTAAACTACACTCCATTTTGGTCTTATTAACACATTTCTTTCACGTTTATGGTACTTGTAAGTACTTTATTTACCACGTCTTTATTAGTAAATTTAAAGGACGAAGAAATGATTTAATTTACTGTTATTTACTTTTTTTACAAATACCTTTTAAAAAAATTACCTAAAAAATCTCATACCGTATAAAAACATAAGAATGCTGTTCTTTTTTTGTTAATTTTATATCCGAAAAGACTGACCAAGACTGCTTTTATACTTTTCAATTGTTTCAAATACGGAATTCGAAGTTTAAAAAAATGAGATTAATTGTATTATTGTAACAAGTGTAAAGCAAATAAAGTTAACTAAACATTTACTCGATTGCATTACAAATGCAAGCGACGATAAATGAGGTGAGTGCTAAACAATAAACAAAATTAACAAATAAGATAACGAATTGTTTCCATCGTAACGAAGCGCTATCGAGCTAAATACCTGATAATAGTTATGGAAAATATTCAATGTATATTAATCTATCGATAGTTTGGCCAAAACATGGTTATCTGAATTTAAAGTTATTTGTCATAAAGATTGTTTTTCGACACAGAAATATAGTTTTTTCCTCTGTATTAAATGATATCGATTTAAAAAATTTGCTTATCGATACGTATATTTAATTTATCGTAATAAAATTATTAGCTACCGTCATCACCACTATAATATGTATAATAGGTTGAAAATCTCATTAAAATGTAAAAAAATAAAAAGTAATTATTTACTAATTTTTTTATACCCGACTGACATATTTGCGTTTGTGTTTGTGGTTTTAGTTTGTGTTTGACTACAATAATACTACAAGCATAAATGCATTGCAATTTCTTTTAAAAAATTAAAACAGCTTTATACATTTTATTCGCAAAATTTTTGCAAAAAAAATATCTGTTAAGGCAATAATAATTGTAGTCATTCTGGCCGGACAAGTACCGATGTGAAAGTAGCTAGGTAACATTGGGTCGGCTTGGCAACTGCAAAAGCTTTACCATGCGGACATGGCGGGAGATATATTGCACTGCACTCGCTGCAAGTCTAATATTAATAGACGAATTGTGTAATATAGTTATTTCACCAAAATATTAAAATATAATACGCAATTACAGAGCGGACATTTTAAGCTTTCAATTTTTTTTCTTATAATTTGTTTTTTTATAACAGGAAGTTACTAGAGAAAACTAGAGAGCCAACCAATGTACCGATGGCACATCTTTTTGTTGGTACGGTTTTGTTCGTAATGTCCCGTCTAATGATATTTGTTTATATTCTTTGATAATTTAAAAACAAATAAATCCTAATAACAGTGTTACATACCGACGAAGAACACAAATAGAATGCTATAATAGGTTTCTGTTTATTTATGAATAAACAAGGCCTGATCTTGACAGGTCTACGGTAAACTGGTAATCCATAAATGGTATTGCAATGGTTAAAGGCTAAGGTTTACTTAATTCTTATTAATTTAAAAATATTGTAAATTACGACATGTCTACGTTTAAAGTTTCTACTTTTAGCTAAAAAAAAATCATTACATGTTTTTTATTCATTATACATACGAGTACAATAAAGTTTTTCGGGATGACACTTTAAAGAAGTTTTTCACTTTAAAAAAATAAAAATTTACTTGTTTGTTGTAGTTAGCGCGTTAGCTAATAGCTATAATTACAATTTTATAACAGGATAAAATTTGAATTGGTATGTTTAATACTTTCTTCATAAGTATTTAATTAAAATGTTTATAGATTTTATTTTGAAATTTATTTTATTATTTCCATTGATTTTTTCTTAAATAAAATTATTTTAAACCAAAATAAAATCCATACCTTAGAAGTGGAAACCGATAACTGCCTCACCAAATGGCTCTTCGTCCGAAAAGCCGCAACCCTATGTGACATTTTATTTAATATCTTTAGTTATAAAAATATAAATAGCTGATAAACTTATTAAAAATATTTATAATCTTGCCGCTTCTCGCGAAGCGTGTTAATGATCTATATGTTTGCGAATGACTGACGTCCTGACTGGAGTTCCTTGGCGAAAACATTAATATCTTAGTGACGTTTTATCTATAAACTATTATAATGAACCATTACGTTGTTTAATTGTCGTACGTTATGCTTATACTGTTTTTATATCTTACACGCCTACATTTCATTATGAGAATATACATACATGTTTTTGTTACTTTTGTGACAACAATATTTAGTTACATTATGGGTTGAACTATTGATAATATCAGGTAAGTACAAAAGGTTTCTTTTCGAGTCTTTAAAGACTGTTCTAAGGCATACAGTTGCAGGTGTATTTCAAACACTTCCTTTTTCATTTTATAGTTTTTCACAATCTAAAGTACATCACTAATACTTAGGAGTTCTATATCTGTGCCTAAACAGGTTTTAAGGTTCTCAGATAACCGGTGTAGGCAGAATCGCGACTACATTACATCTAACGGAAATATCGTGTAGCCACTCGACTGAGGTAGGATAAAATAGGTATCATGACAGTGTCTAAAAAACACCAGAAGAATGACAATTATTAGCGCCTGAAGGCATTTTGCCAAACTCGTCATATATGTACTGGTAAAAATATTAATAACGCCTGACAAATTAGTGCAGGCAAAAACTAAAAGTTTACACTTTTTTAGATTAACAACTAGGCACATTAATGTAAGTAGTATTTTATGAAGTTTGAAGGACAATAAATAAGATTTTAATAAAAACATATTAAAATCATATAACATATTTCTCTATACAATCAATTCATGCGCAAATCAATTTAAACAGTTAGGTTGGCACTAATGTTTTTTTTGTGTCAAAAAATATATTTTTACAATGGCAATGATTTGCCACGAGCTACTTACTCTTTGACTCAAACTTCAATCAAAAAGTAATTTTGATTCAATTCAAATCAAATCTTCAATCGATTGCCTTGCCGGTTTGGTGTCTGTAAATAGTGTGTTAAAAGTGAAAATTTTGTTCTTACAAGAAGCAAATCAAATAAAAAAAACAACGTTGAATCAATATCAATTTAATTTCGAAATATGAAACTATTTTAATTGTTATAAGTTCTATTATTGCGATCAAAATGTCACGATTTCTATCAAAGGCTCAATTGGAAGGATTCGAAAAATACAAGGTAATTATAATAAATATAACTAGTAATTCAGTCGACACGCGTTAATATTATAAGATTTTAATATTTTCGTAAATTAATTCACTTCAACATTCATAAAATGTTATATTTAAGTTAAGGTTTTAAGGAAGAATCCAATTTTGTTTTATTTTCAGTATAACTCGGTGGACACAAGTATACTCAGCAATTATGTTATGCATCCATTTTGGGACTGGTGTGTTCAGGTCAGATTCTTATACAAATAATAATTAATAGTTTTCGTTGTATAAATTCCTGCATGTATTCTTAATAAACCACATAAATCAACAGGAATACTCATTAATAATTGTTCGTAATTAATTTATACTAGTTTTATGTTATTTTCTAACATAAATTTATTGTGACATATCATTAAATTTATAACTTGACCATAACTACTAAACAGATACAACATAAATTAAGTTAATAAAACACATACAACATAGATTTTATTATATTAGTATTTTTTGTACAAAATTCAGTCTTGTTATGTTAAAAAAGATAGTTTAGATTAATAACAAATCAACAATTAATTTAATTAATAGCACAAAATAATATGTAGTATGCAATTCAAAAATTTAATATTTGTTGTTGATGTTTTTAATTAATTTAACCATGTGTTTCCATGTAACACTTGAACAACAGTATTGCCTTCCAACTCATACCCTTTGCTGAAAAAATAGAGACAATGTTATATCCCTATATAGATATTTACAGTAGTATAACAGTAGACTTTCATTGTGACATTTGACTGTTAAGTAACATTTTTAATATGAAATATGGATGTTGCATCTAACATATATTAACATGTTTGCAGTTTTGCCCGGTGTGGGTGGCACCAAACCTGCTAACATTCACTGGCTTTCTACTGACGGTCCTTAATTTCCTATTGTTCTCTTACTATGACTATGGGTTCCATGCCCTCACAGAGGAGAATATCACCAATGATCATATACCCAATTGGGTGTGGGCCGTTACTGCTATCAACTTGTTTGTGGCATACACTTTAGGTGAGTATGTTAACACATTAACTCTGTCATACAATATTTACATATTATTAATTATTTTTTGAATTGAAAAGTAGATTTCATGTGATATATTTAGTTTCTCCATTAAATCTTAGGAAGCATTTGATCAAAATAATTTTCTAAAATTTGCCTTCATACAATTTTGTATTGCACTGCAGACAAATTCTAAGGTCATATCTAAATCTATTTACCATGGGTTTCTGACATCAAAATCTCTGTATGAAATATATCGTCGTCCCTGTCATTATCTTTGGAAAAGACAGAAATGACAATATAATTAAACTGAAGATTTTGGTCTCAGAAACCCATTGTTGGTGTAAAAAGCATTAGTTACGTCTACACTCAATAACTGTTTTTTTCCGCGTACCGGCGCGTCGTTTTCACTGCCAAACATATGTATAAAAACATACTGTCATCCCACACATTATATTTGAAACAAACAGAGATAGAAGTATGTTTTTGTACTAATATTTCGTCATTGAATACTCACTACAAATGACAGTAACAACATAACAGACATTGTGTAACATAAGGTTTCAAGTTTTATATACATTATTGCTTTCGTCTGTCTGTCGTCAAGCTATTTACAAGTCGGGTGTTTAACGAAGACAATTCCGTCGATTTGGTTTTTAAATAAGTATACCTGCGTGATTGAAGCATTAAACTTTTTTTTTTGATTCCTCCTTGAACTTAAACTTGACCGTGACTAACGTTTTGACGCAAATCGTTTTATAACAAGGTAATAAACAGTCCAACATCAAAAAAAAAATAATTATTAAGAAAACAACAACAATATAACTCACGCGCGTATCCCAGAGGGGTAGGCAAAGACCACAGACCTTCATTTATTATAGGTAATCATTATAACCTATACCCTTACTTCAGTTATATTAGAAAGCGCGAAAAGATATTATTGTTTTTGTTCGAATTTTTCGTCTTTATCTTCGTATAATTTATAAAAGTTATAAAAATACCTAGTGTTTAACGTATTGCGAAAGGTGCATTTAACGTTTTTCGTTGCACATACTTTAAATTATGAAAATAACAGTTCTCGTAATAAACAGACTTAATTGGCAACTAAAACATACTCGAACAAGATCTACTTTCAAGGTTTTCAGACGCCGGAATGCTAATTAACATTTTTGTATCGACAGCAGTAATAAGTTCATAAATACGTGAATTATGCCCGACTTATACCAAAAAAAAATCCTAAAGTGACGGAGTATTCCTTATTCATTTATATTATAATATTAGTAAGATAGTAATCTTACTAATATTATAAATGCAAAGGTTTAAATGAATGGATAAATGGATGTTTATTAGAAGATATCACTGGAATGGCTCAACAGATGTTCATGAAATTTACACAAATGTAGAACATAGTCTGGAAGAACACTACTAGTCATTATTTTTTTTTAATCCTGCGCAGGCGGATTCGCAGACAGCCAGTAATGAATAATGTGTTTAAACTTCAAAGATACATGAGTTGTTCTTTTTTTAATTTATTTATGTAGTGAAATTCTCAGTACTCAGTAGTCTTCATCTTCTTATTTATAATGAAAGAGTTAATTGAAGAGATAAATAAAAATGCAATAATCTTAACTAAAAATAACACCCTGTATTACAACGTGCAATGATTCCAATTAGATTATTGGAAAAATACACCGAGTTAATGATACAGGCCGCATAAGATAACCACGGAATTTTTTCGAATAAATACAAATAACCACGAAAACAATGATAAAAATCTTCCCGACACTAATTATTTGTCTTTTATTTAAGTGACAGTCTGATAATAATTACATTTAATATTAACAATATTCATTAAAACAACTTTTTTTAATTAATAGCGCAGTGGTAAAGGTCTTATATCACTATAAACTTTTTTTTTACTCATCCTAACCTTGAACTCATGCACATGAAAGACGACAAACACGACTTTAAAACATGATCGAACTTCGATATTAATTATAATTTATTAGGAAAATCTTATTTCTTACTATGTTACTAATATTATAAATGCCAAATTAATATTAATTATGGATGCAAGTTTAGATGGATGGATGTTTGTTTGTTCGTATCTTCGAAACGGCCCAACGGATCATGCTGAAATTTGGCATAGATGTAGAACATCTGAAGGAGCACACGGGTTACTTACAAGTTTTTCTTTTAATTCCATACGTACGGAGTCGCGGGCGACAGCTAGTAGAGTAATACATTCTTATCATGTCAATCGATGATTACGTAAAATTATTTTAAGTTAGTTTTTTACGCATGTGTACTATCTACGTAAATTGAAGTTATATAATCAAGATTCGTTCAATTATCTGTGATAAGACCAGTTTAGATATTTCTAATATCGATAACGAAATAAATTTTTTAATTATAGTTACATATGTAGGTAACCTATATTTATCTGAGATATGATAAGAACTAGGATTGTAACGCAGACCTTCTTATGAAAGCGGAGCTGAATCGCCTCGTTACCGCTGTGAAATGTTGAAAAAAAAACAAAGTAAAAAGTAGTCGTTTATTTGACAGACTAAAAAATAGAGATTTCCATATCTCTCACATTGTAAATTAACGTATAAAAACCGTTACAACTCCGCAAAAAAAAATCAAAAACGGATGCGAATGCGCAGGTATGATTTCAAGGAACTTCCGATTTTATGGAGGTCGAGCGAGGTTTCGTTACAACCCAAAGCCACATTTCAAAAGAGTTCACAAATTTTTATAACATCAACGAAATAGCTCCGACGTTATGCCAATTTTTACAACAAACAATACAATGTAATTGGCTTTAGCTCACCGAAATAAGGTCGTTGACATTTGACCATGCGAAAAACCTGCTCGTTTATCATCTTACAAAAATAAAATATGTACTTAAGGTGCATGACTTCGCATACTTTTGCAGATTTAAAAATCGCTTCATGGAGATTTTGCCACAAATAAACCCATATAGATTTTAATGTTTGCAGAACTCGAAAAAGGTGACTTCGAATCATATTTCCTTATAATATTCACCATCAACCTTTGCATTTGCACCAATCACAGCGATCCCTTTCAGGTTTTCCCTTTATACTACTTTCATTTCCCTTGTTCGATGCAAGACATCAGTTACTAGTTTCGGATGTCTACACGTAGCTGTTAAAATGTTAACATTAGGTGTACCGATACTAATTTTATCCATAAAAATATCGTGTCTTTTCTTACTGCTTGATTCGAACAAGTGAGAGCGTATTTGTTTATAACAAAAGCATTACGCATAGTATCGACTTACTCGTAGTTCATAGAGTGTGTCTGATCTATCATTCATATTGTGCCCTTTGTTATCTTATGTTACTGACGCTTAGATAAAAGCTAACAAACTACGCGCTTTATAAATAGTCTTATTTTAAATATTTCTTGATATAATTCAACATTTGTTTCATATAGAGGTTATAGGGTTATGAGTTAATTTGTATTTATTATTTCCGTATTTATGTACAAGTCAATACATAATATACTTTGTAATTATACAATGTAGGTTACATGTTGACTAGCAATCACATAACCTTACTTCTTGCTAATATTATAAATGCGAATGGATGGATGGATGTTTGTTTCAAATATCTCCGGAACGGCTGCATGGCTACGAAATTTGATATAGATGTAAAACGTAGTCTGGAAGAAAACATACGCTATTACAATTCCGCGGGGACGGAGTAGCGGGCGATAGCTTGTCTGGTCATATAAATTATAGAAGAAACTAACTCTAATATAACTATTCAAGACCTAGGGTGTACAGTTCCGCAATCACACTATGACCTTCTGGCAGCCGGAAAAATTTTTTTAAGTAATGTTTATGATGTGTTAATCTCAGTTTGCTTTTTTATCTATTTTTATTCAGTAAAATTTGTCACCATTATTAGCAAAAAGGATTTTAATCTATTTTTACGAATCAGATTATTTATGCGTGCAATAATGACAAGCGGAAACATACATCGCCTGATCGTAACAACGGACACGTTGACGAATAAACATTCAGTTTTAGAATAAAATGTTTACTAAGTTAATTAACTATTGTCACAAGACGACGTTATCCATGAATTTAACATGTTAACAAACCTATTACGATAAGGATTAATAGATATATATATTAGCTGTCGCCCACGACCCGCCCGCTCAATTAAAAAAAAACCAATAAGTATATTAAGACGTTCCAGAGATATCTTCAAACATCCATCTAAACATTTTCATTTATAATATTAGTAAGATTTTTTTTATTGATATTTATCTGATATTTTTTTTTTAATCTTAATATGTCGTGCCGCCGTAAAAAACCTCCATCGATAACGAAACTGTACATATGTCGAAATAATTAGTATTTCTTATTTTATCTTCTTTTAAAAATGTCTGCTTAAAATTCACTGATAATAAATGTAGTTTATTATACGTTGTTATTTGTACACAATGTATAAATAATAACGTCAACGAATAACTTTGTACATACATTAGTAAAGTGCCATTCAAGCTTTATATTAGACTTATTGTCGCCCGCGACACCGTCTGCGCGGAATTAAAAACAAACACAATTAGTAGCCTATGTGTTTCAGACTATGTCCTATATGTATGCCAAATTTCATCGAGATGGGTTCAGCCGTTCTGAAGATACCTTCATACAAACATCCATCTAAACATTCGCATTTATAATATACAGTAAGAAGTCAGATATTAGTAATATAGATGCTTCACACAATACAACTGTATCTATCGGAGGGATGTAATGGGATAGGGAGGACTTTCCTCCATCCATCATGAGCTATAGGCACTCTCTTGCACATACAAGCTCGCAGCTAATTATGAGCTACCATAAACTTTGTTATATCTTTTCAGATGGTATCGATGGCAAGCAAGCACGTCGCACGGGCACCAGCGGTCCACTTGGGGAGCTGTTCGACCACGGCCTGGACTCGTACTCAGCTGTTCTCATACCAACCTGTCTTTACAGTATATTCGGAAGGTAAGGTCCAATGCAAAGATATTTTAAACAGTGGTAGAGCACGCTTTAACATCTCCGCACGAACAGGCTGTGGCCACGATGACACAGATGACAGGTGTGAAGTGGAATAAATTCCGCGTTTCGTCTCATGAGAGTGGCATCGGAGTCCTAATTTTAGTCCTCTTTCTTTTTCCACCCTTATTCTTATCAGTAAAGGATCGGAAGTGCAAGTGGATTTTCCGGATGTGGTGACGCATGGGAAGGGAAAATATTCTCTTTCTGTCCATCCTCCGTTGATTATAGGTAGGCAAAGAATTTGCAATGGCGTATGTCTATGGGCAATCCCTTCGCTATTTCAGCGATTTCAGGTGGCAGCTCGCTCGTTTGCCACGCTATAATAAAAAAAATGAAAATCTTATAATACATAAATACTTCTTTTTATATAATCTACGGTTTACCGATAATAGTTTAGATTTAGACCTTTGACCTGATTGCTTTGCATTACATGTTTATAGAAAATAATAGACTGCAACAATTTGTCGTAAAGAGGTAAAAAAATATAATTTAGTCATAAGAATATAAAATCTAAAATAAATATTAATATTAATAATAATAAGGTTAAGTTATTATATTAAAATAATGTCATGGTTTAGTTGTGTACGATAACATATTTATATCAAGGTCTTATACTATCTCTATCCAATTAGTTAATACATCGAATGCTAAAGATTAACTGTAAATCAAATTAACTATTGAAAGTTTAAGAATATAATGGTTAACGCAAAGTTTAATGTAGAGTTTGACTTTTGAAATTCTCTTTCACCGTTTGATAAAATAATACAAAACTAATAGTGGGTTTCTGAGACCAGAATCCTCGTTTAAAATATATTTTTATGTCTGTTTTGTTAAAGATAATGACAGGGATGACGAGTTTTACTATCAGAAACCAACGGTAAACTACTTAAAAAAGTGTAGCAAAAATCAATCTATAATTTTTTTTCGAGATTTGTTTCTTTGTGTTGTTATATTTATGTGTTTTTACTGTTATGTGCATGTCTAAATTTTTTTTTCTTTTAATAATTAATTAACTTTGTTACTACTTGTAAATGATGGTTTCTAGCTTGTATTTGTGTGTAAGATTAATTTAAAAATTGTTTTTAGAGATGAGTTGAGTCCGCTCCGTTTCTTCTTCGTGATCTGGAACATCTTCATCAACTTCTACCTGACTCACTGGGAGAAGTACAACACGGGCGTGATGTTCTTACCTTGGGGATATGACTTCACAATGATTGTGAGTTATATAAAACAAATAACAATAATTTACAAACATGTTATAACATGAAAGTAATCAATGTCGAATAAAATGAAGACTCCAATTTTACAGTATATTACTTGATATATACCAAAATTACTAAATTATTCAATTTAAATACGATTTTCATCAATGTTTTTATTTATTTGTGAAAAAAACTATAGTAGTATACTGCGGGTCTACTTGAATTTGCGAGATTAAGAAACAAGAATTTATAGGTTTAAAAATCTATACTAAATGTATCCCTTAGTGACTACTTAACGTCTGTGAGTGTAGAAAAGTTTGTATGATGCAGGGTTCATGTATCCTGCTGCTGGTGACGTCGGCAGTGGGTCCGCGCACATGGCACGCTCAGCTCCCTGGCGGACTCTCGCCTGGCTTCCTCTTCGAGATCGTGCTCTACTTCTCTGCAATAATCACAAGCCAGACTGTCATACTCTGGAATATATACAAGTTAGTACAATTAGACACTGTTTCTACTAATATATTCTAGTTTTCAAATATTTTGGTGATGTCCGCAGAACACAATTTTAGACGTGGCGTGTTTTACGCAATGCGCAGATGACCTTGAACTAAAGGCGCGTGCATATACCTTTTAATTTCCCTCTCTTTATGATAGATGCGGTGGCACTCACATTAAATTTGAACCCTGAACACACTTGGCACTATAAAATATAAAATAACGGGCGCTTTAAGAACCGTCGGATTGCGATCCGGAACGGAATGAATGTTATGGGACTGACGAAAACAAACGAAAATTAAAAAAAATAAAGGAGAAAAATTATTCTACTTGAAGACTTTATGTGGGTACTTTAAGTAACGATAGCTTTTAAGTACATAGGTCTTTTTTTAATGTAGGTCCTATCGAGATGGTACAGGCAAGATGCGTCCATTGTTGGAGGCTGTGCGTCCCCTGGTACCTCTGGCGGCGTTCTTCGCGCTCAGCTCCGCGTGGGCCTTGTACTCGCCGAATGACATCCTCAATCGTGGACCCAGACTCTTCTACATACTTACCGGCACTATATTCTCTAATATCAACGTAAGTACGCATAATCACCAGCTTTTATAGAGAACTTAACTTTTTTCCGTACAAAAGGCAATGGAAATTGCGCATTTGCACTTCCAGTACACTTAGTTGTCGCGGTTGGCAAAAAATAAACTAAGTTACAATAGCTCATTATCATCCCCCTTGGTAACAGTATAAAAACCATGTCGGAAACGTATTGTATTTATAAGCTTTAGAAATGGACTGGCTTAAAGATGGCATATTTTGTGCCAGTTTGGTTTTTGCCATTTTGGCGCTGATGGTAACGACTTATAGCGGTGATGTACGAACTAATAATATAGATAGAATTACCACGTAACATCAACAGGCATGTTTAAATCGTAGCAAAAATTGTCATATCCAAGCAATCGTTATCCATTTATAGAGACAGAATTAACCTCGACCACTACGAGTGTCACCGAGCCAGATACCTTTGTCGTAGTATAGTAATGTGAGGTATATATTGTCAGTGTCGTCTGATCGTGTCACAAATGAGTGACACGCGGTGCGAGGTGTTCAACGGTCTGCTGGTGCCGTACGGTGTGGCGGTGTCGCTGGCGCTGTGCACACCACTCTCGCCCATGACGGAGCTGCTCCTGCTGGCGGGACTCTGCGCCGCCGCCACCGCCGCACATCTCTACTACGCCACCAGAGTCGTGAGTTACTGTTATTCTTCTTACTTCTTACTAATATTATAAATGCGAAAGTTTAAATAGATGGATGTTTGTTTGAAGTTATCTCCGGAACGAAGACCTTAATGATTCTTGATGAAATTTTGCACTGGTGGAATATAGCCTGGGACACATAGGCATATTAATTACGTTTTTTTTATATAAAATTCCCGCAGACCGAGTCGCGGGGGACAGCTAGTAGTGGAATAAACCATTTATAGTGGCAAAACGGGCCGCTAGTGTTAACCTCAGTGGCGCTAGTGTCAACGCTAGTGTCGCACGCCAGTGGCGCTAGTGTCGCACGCCAGTGGCGCTAGTGTCGCACGCCAGTG